GGCGTGAACAGGTAGAAAGAAACGAATACATTACATTGTTTTCATGTAAATGATAAAACTTTTGAATATAGACGTATACTCTATATATTTATGTCTGATGTATATGGATACACAAAAGCGGAAACGTGACACGGGAAAGAAAAGCAAATTTCATGTAAGGGTTTGATGGTGGATAGCTTTATTGTACTTGATAAATTGGGAAATTTTAATCTGGTCGGTACACAACTCACTGTCTTAGAAAATTAACTCGTGTGAGTGATCTTCATTTAAATACGTACAAGATGCATCACTTTATCAAGCGACATCATTAGTGTAATGTGCTAATCAATTGGGAACAACATTAAGGCGCAAAGAGTGACTGCCATGTTATTGAAATTCAAATATTTAATCCTACCCATTTTCGAAAATACACACGTAAACCGCTATTTTTGGAAGTGTACAAATGGGATAATTTTTCAACAACATTCAATTCTAAGAGTTCTAGGTGAGCTGTTTAAAGACACAATGGGAACGAAGTTGAATTGCTGACATGCTATCGTGGAACACCAGAATCCTGTTACAATAAAGATAGATATTGAACAACTAAAAGAAACTTCACGTTGTTTACTATGGTTACCCATGCTGAATTTTTACTTTCTACTTTTACTGGTAAAATCTTAAGGAACCAGAGATGTCGAGTACTCAACTGTGATCATATTTGTACAGGACACAACACATGTCACGAACTCACCCTAACTATAGTCATAACTCCACAGGAGACAAGATATGTCACGAACACACCCAATCTTTGACCATAATTCAAATAAATGATAAATAAAATAAAATAAATATAGTGATCACAGCATTGCTATGATACAAGATTTAAAGGACACAAGACATATCACAAACACATCCTAGCTATGGTAATAACTTCAGAGGAGACAAGATATGTCACGAAGACATCCAAACTATTGTCATATCTTTATAGGACACAAGACATGTGGCGACCACACCCTAAGTTGGGCCATAATTTAAGAGAACAAAAGAAACATAGTGATCACACCATACCTATGGTTATCACATTACAAGTGATAGAACATATTACGAACACACTCTAATTTGGCGATAATTCAGGAGGACACAAGACATGAAGTGTTCACACCATACATGCATGTATGTCTATATCTGAGGATGACATCAGTGATTTCATGAACTCACCCCAGCTGTCATCATATCTTTTGAAGACACAAGAGTTGCTCAAACTGACACTATCTGGTCAACGTTGTATAAGACACAAGAGATATTAATACACTCCACTGATTTATTGTGGTACTTTTGATATTATGATTGTAACTAAGGAACATTCATATATACGAACACGGAATTTAAGTAACTTATTCTTTGATGACATCGTATGTATAATTAAACCAGGTAGATCTCTCGAATCTACATACGTGTCTAAAACGTGAAAATGGATTACACAACCGTAGTTGTTTAAAGAACTAGTCATGCTTTTACATTTTCCAAGATAAACATAGTTTACATTTTCCAAGATAAACATAGTTTACATTTTCCAAGATAAACATAGTTTACATTTTCTAAGATAACATAGCTTACATTTTCTAAGATAACATAGTTTACATTTTCTAAGATAAATATAGTTTACATTTTCTAAGATTAACAGTTTATTAACAATTTTTTCTTTCTTTTCCTTTTTCCATACAGATTATAAAACTAGATGCCATTATTTCAGTTTCTATGATAGTTTTATCGAAAGTGTTTTACCTTGTATTCCTGTAACTAAACAACTATCTGGTGGTCAACATCCAGTAAATTAAGGATACCCGAGTTACCTTGCGATGTTACAAAGACTTCGATTTGAAATTATCGGAAAAGTTACGGATATCTCGCGGTATTAGTAAGCTGACTTCTGATGGTTATTACCGAACGAATTGGGGATACATGGTGATGCTACAAGCCACCCACTGGTTAATATCGAGAACATTGGGGATACATGGTGATGATACAAGCTACCCACTTGTTAATATCGAGGACATTGGGGATAGATGGTGATGCTACAAGCCACCCACTGGTTGATATCGAGGACACTGAGAATACCAGGTGATGTAACATTGGCACCTTTGGTGATTACGAGCTAACAGGAGACACCTGGTGACGATACTTAGAGTATAATAATGGCTTTGAATTTTACAGGGATTATTTCACTTGTTTCTAGTCTGATTCTAATGAGTCTAATTTTCACCCCAGGGTACTTGACCTTACAACACTTATAGTGTTAAATAAAAGTGACCGAGACGCATTATAGTTTTCTAGCTTTCATTGCATCAGATTATTCTCCACTGGTCAATTTGCCTTTTTGTGTTGAAGTCCCAGTTTCCCGCTTTGTTCTATGTAAACCAGATTCATACACATTCGGTGGTAAATCTGAGGCGTCCACCAAAAAGTGATCCTTGTGGATATAAATGTAGCATTTACCGCCAGTATTACATTCATCTATATATCATTACTACGCCACAGTGTAGTATATGAGAGCGTATACTACAAAATGAAGTGATTCAGTCGGTGTAGAAATTGATAAAACTGGACGTCTCCTTGATAAACAAAACTGGCCGCCGATCACTTTCGATATCAGTATACAGTGCACTGACATATCCGAAGTTGATGGACTAAGTAAAAGGCCTTAAATAATAATAATGATAATAATAATCTTTACAAAGCTATCAAAATTATGACAGAACAAATTTATTGTCAGACATGCAATTTTTGTCCTACCAAACGAGATTACCAAGTTTGCCAACTTTGTCTGCTAGACGTTGATCTGACAGTCAAAATTGCAAATGTAGAATGCGCTAAAAATAAGACTTTGTCACTAACTGACAGGAGCGACTTCTATTTACACTTTCCATGGTTATTCTATTATGAAAATCTAATAAATTCACTCCAAGACACATAAGGATTTTTTTCCAACGAAACTTTAGAAACAACGTTTCGTGATATCTGACATTTTAATGAAATATCAATTTGAATTAATCTGCGTTAATTTAAAACGAAAAACAAATAAAAAAAAAAAAAAAAAAAAGAAAAGAAAAAGAAAATACGGATATATAATTATTGAAAAAATTGCGATAGTTTACACTTAACAGGTACCATTCTCTTTATCTTCAATTTGGATTGGCTTCATATCGACTGCATACGCCATCTGGTAACAGTTTAAAGGCAATCTTGTTTGAATATTTTCTTAAATAAGACACGCGTCACGTCATCAATATTTCAATAATTCAATAACATTGTTTTATGAAAAAGCTAAAACTTATTGCATCTGTTCACAAGGAATTTGTTGAAATCTTAAAATCGTTAAAATCACTGCATCAAAATAATATTGTTGAAAATATTTCAATGTAAGACATGTTGCAGGAAGTCACAAATGTTCTGGTATGGGGTCCTCCACGTTTTAATATCCTGGTTATTACAATTGATATAATTTTGTAAATGTGGGTTTTATATTGAGTATTTTCATCATTATAGAATCCCAAATAAATCAGATAAATAAGAAACAAAATTCAAAATGTCTTTTCATACATAAAAACCATAAAAAGCATGTCATGAAATCAAGAAGTAAACATTTGACAGAATATTTATTGCAACACGTTATTGTTGTTTAAAAACAATCAATTTAAATATGATCACAACTGTTAGATGTTTACATACGATATAAATTCTGTTAGAAATGATTTAATATTTTAGAATTCTGTAAGATATGATTCAAGTTTTGTTAGATATGAAAACTGCAGATGTAAAACAAAAATGCAGATATATTAAGATATGTCACTGGAAATAATCAACAAATATACATTATTGAACGATATATTCGAAACAAGCAGAAATGCGGCGCTTTTGTTTAAAACTTATTATATTATTGTAGAAATGTCTTTATCAGCAACAATTCGTGGCCAAATATTATAAAACACATACTTAAGTATGCTCCATGCATGCCTTAATATCTGACTTGGCCATCACCTTCAATATATTCCTCATCTCATACACGTGCTTCAAATACTGAGCTTATCTACATAATACATACGAGTGTTTTCTTTACAAACACAGGAATAGAAAAGTAAAATTAAGAGGTCAAGACTTCAGACACTTTGATTTTACAAACGTATATGATCACACAAGTGTAATATCCTGCTCCTTCATACGTGAGTAAGAGAGTGTAATATTACAGGCCTACCTGTAAATACATACCTGTAATGTACATCGTATATCGTGTTTGAGAAACGACCAGTAGAACAATATCGTAACAATACAGATACACTCTTCACAAATATAAGGCTGGTGTGGTAAACAAAAACCCATTCAAAATGTTTTTAGATGCAAGCTGGCATTTAAATAAAACTATCATAAAGAGCTAGACAGAACATAAAATGTATTTCTATAAATAAAGTGAAATTTAAGAAAGAATGGAACTAGAACAGTCAACATATCAAAATGCCTTCATGGAAAATTCGAATAAATAAAATTATTACATGTAATTGCAAACATTCAATACAGTACGGTCAATAAAGCAAGAAAAAGCCTGGGATAACTAGAATATAAAACTTGGTAGTGTTTTTTTCGAATGATTTCCATTAAAATGGATAAGCTAATATTCAGATCTTTTACATACCATGCCGGTAAATTTGTATGATTTTTCCAAGCCACTACAGACTTAATTCTTTTTGGCACAGTTTGGTGTTTAAACCTTCTAATCTACCACACCATATATCAATAATTACCTTCACCTTTAAAAAGCACTCTTATGAAATTATTTTTTGTGACTCTATACAAATACCAAAGACACGTGCTACGAAAGAAATGGTAGACCACTCCTACTTAAATACATACAGATCCTCACACACCCACGGACATATTTCAGTAATCTTCAAGTTCCTTTTTTACACCACAACGTCATTAGATATAAAGATAGGAATATATTGAGTACACAACCATTTTTCGTTTTATCACGCAGTCAATGACATGCGCTGTTCTCGCTTAGTCTTAATGTGATCCAAAGTTTGTGTCATCGTTTCGGTTCGGTATGCTGACCAGTCTACGTTCTGTTGTAGTTTATTTTGCATCTCCTCGTCCGTGGGATAAGGACATAGCTGTGAATTTAAAACAGAATTTCGTGTAAAACATGGCCATTCATCAGCAACATACAATATTATCGTGCAAATGCAGTAAAATAGAACAAATGGCTGTATTGTATGTGTACAATGTCACTATCTGAATTTGAAGTCAAAGTGTCAATTTAATTTCAGCAATATAAAATATATATATTGATATACGAAGCATGTTTCGAATTATGATGTTTGATAGCATACATCTTAATTCATTCTTTATTCGCCTGGTAACTGAAATAAATTGATACATGTGATTTTCGTTTCAGTCAATGAAGACGGTATGATGCCTTTAGTTAATGGTATAAAAAGCTTCAAAACAAATCTGAATTTCTCGATCTAGATGTCAACATTTTTTTTGCATGAAAAGAGCGTGATTGTGTCTGCAGATCTAAGCGCTTAATACTTTTCTTTAAAAACTACCCTACACTGTATTTGTTTACATATAACTGAATTTGCTTGATAACTAAGTAACCGTATATCATACGCATTGACCAGTCTTTGGAACGAAATAGTTGTTAATACATCTTCAATGTTGTTTTCCGGTAGATTACCGCTTGATGGTCTGGACGCTGACTTGTCCATATTTCATATCTTAAACATAATAACGTACCAATTTACTACGTTTGAAAGTAGCAAGGGTCGACCAGTTGTTCAACCAAACCTTTATTTTAGCTTTTTAACTACCACTATAAGTACTATCAAAACCAGGATGCAGACATTTTTTAATCATGCAATGTGAGTTTCGGAGAATTCAAAACACGTTTTGATAAAGAATGAAATCGACTTGTGAAAAATATATCTACTATAAGCACGCTCATAGCCTAGTTATATAACGTTCTTCCCACCAAATGTTGAACGGAATTACCTGAAATGCATTTTGTGCAAATTACGTCTAAAACCAAACTAATCCACAACTTTTTACTTTTGTTAAGATTCTGTTTGAGACTACCAAACAAACCGTTGGCATACCCCCGGGAATAGATTGTCCCATTGTTTGCTAATATTTATTTTCTTCAAACGAAACTAAATTCATCGACAAACTGTCAAAACCTTAAAACCGGATATCTCTTTAGATCATTTAAGTTGAAACAATAATGTGAAATTGTCATCTGATAGGAATCAGTGACATGATAGACTGGCCGTTTTTCGCTTACATCAACCATTAATTACGACTAATGCCAACGGGAACAGTTTTCGACTTAAGTTGTATGATTTTGATATCCCAGGTTATAACTGTCCATTTCTGAACAATATCACGCCTGATTCTCTCACGACGGTTAATCTATCAGAGTTAATGTGATATTGATGCCTTTATTTCCCCAATATCACGACTTCCGTGATAGGGTTGACAGCAATCGGAAAAAAAACCTTTAAATACAGGATTTCAAACGATGCGTGTTGATTTATTCCCAATATTTCAGTTATCATCTTATAATAAGGAAACAACTCTGATCAGTTCTTTATCTTGGTCTGAATATCCTTTTTGTTTAGAATAATAATCCTTTGATATAAGAGAAATGTGCTTTATGTGTACTTGTTTCCTCACTGAATATCACAAGACATAGTAAACTGAACAGCTGCTGGATTGTTAATATTCTTCCTATAATCATAACATTAAAGTATAAAAAATAACAGAGTTGTCTCCCATAATTTAAAATTGATTAGTCTGTCAACACTAAATTTATGATTGCGTGTATGTAACGTAAGGTTTGTATGTGTGTAATGTATGTATGTATATTTATGGTGTATTATGTTTATGTCTGACCACCGTGTTGACTTGGGAGAAGACTTAAATAGGCTCTGGCCTGCTGTCTAATCCTATTGATTAATTTTATCAATAAAATATTCTGAAATAAAATGTGTGTTGGTGATGAAGATCCCGAGGAAAGTTAAATTACAATAAATAACTCCTAAGGAAATATCCTATCTCTTTGTACGGTATGGAGTTAGATACAAAGCCTGCGTTTCTATCTTTTGGTTTTCGCAACTTTGTGAACTTTAATTTACATGGCGAGTAAATCAATAGTGCTAAGGATGTTTCAACGTCTCAGATTCTCCTTTTTCAAGCTCTTCGTTTAAGTCTTATTGTTGTTCATATTCGTTTTATCGATTTTTAGTTTTAATTGTTATTATAGACATTTATCAAGAATATTCCAGCATTGTAAACAGACACCAAGTTGATGATGGATTTTCTCAAATTACTCTTGGAATCTAAGATAGTTCGAATGAATGACAGATCAATATGAATTGATACGCCGCAGTTTTTTCCCATCATATGTACTCGCGTATTGGCAGGAAACAACGTGATTATGAAATCACAACACACAGACACAGCAACAGTACAGTGTTTGACCAAATACTTTTATCAAAATAAGTCGTTTACCTCCTGTCTCATTTTGTTTTTCAAGATGTCCGAAGTATGATTGATGTAGAAATCTTTGTCAATGAGAATGATGTCCGCTCCGTTGCTTACGACACAAAAACTTGGCTGAGGTTCCAATATGAGACCAGCTAAACCCTTAAAAAATAAGTGGATAGCAGAACAATTTATTATGTTGCTAGGTCAATATGAGTTATCTCCCTACTTAAAAGTAGTTTCACGATGGAGGGTAGATAACTCTTCTTTATACCGAACATTTCATCGGTCAAGAGAATAGAATCTTAACAGAAAATTTTAGACACAGTAGGGCCAAACGATGTGTTAAACTGCAATATATGGATGTTTCGTCCTAAAAGTATCGTCATTGAAATTACGAAAAATAAAACTAATTTCTCTCGGTATGACACTCAGACCTAAAACTTACAAAAGCATGTCCTTTAGTTAATGTCTGTACTTCTACAAATTCTGGTCTAAGATCAGCTTCGGTGATGTCGTCCTGGTCCTGTAAAATAAATAGCGCCATAAAATGAATATACTGAGCAAGGATAGTGGCAAACACGGTAATCTTATCGTGCGATGATCATATCTACACTTTAACAGAAAATATTTCAATGTAAATAGCGATCCGTCATATTGAGTTGGATGTATAAAAGTATTATGTTTTGTGATTCAAACGAATCTAAATTGATGATACATGACATGAATGAATGTAAAATTTGTTCAACGCTACTGTCGCTCCAATTTGTGCACCTTTGTCTTGGCTAGATCTTCCTGAATCGTTCGCTTATGTTCCTTGAATCCCATCAACTCTTTTTCCTTTTCGAAAAAGCTCTGACGTCTCTTTCCACGAGTGCCTGTGAAAATGCAAAATAATATTTTTCTTGACAAAGAACAATACCGAACAGATTGGATATTGATTGTCACGGAAGTAAAACACCAAGTTGTCCGGAAGGTCCGGAAAATGATAGAGATGGAAAGCTTTGCAACAGATACAGTGGGTAGATATTACCTAAAAAAGGTGGTATCACTTACAGAATTGGGATTGGGATGAAAAGTTTAGCATTTTCAGCGAGCGCCCGACTAACGTATTTTTTCAACGAAGAACAAGGCATATCCTACTCATTACCCTTTATAATGATGTTATTGATGTCATTTCATATCATTGTAATTGTTCAATCGGATAATATAGACACAACCCTTCAAATAACTGAAACATAAATGATATGATTTTATAATTTAGATATTTAGAATGTATTTTAACCATTAACCTAGTTAAAAGTTGGGCCATCTTTGCTTTCTTTAAACCTAAATAATACTACCAGATATGTGTAACGGATCAAGCTGTGTCGAGGTAAAGTCATTCGGTAGATCTTCTATTTCATCATCCATTTCTTCGTAATTAGTTTCATTGGCATCGTTCTCTTCATCTGCTGTCTCTTCAGACACGCGAGGCAAGATCTGTGACTCAATTTTCGGGAATGAAGTTCTGTGTTTATTTTCCTTGTTTTGAGTATGGTGTATATCCGGTAGAGTGACGTCATCACTTATTTGGTGATTCGTTTTCGTGCTATCTGGAGGGAGAGGATGCTGAAATGGACGTGGTTTCCCAGGATATTCTTCCACGAATTCATCTTCTTCATCCACATTTCGCAGGGGAATTTTTAACTCTGCTAGAATTCGTCTGCTAACATTCCGTCTTTCTTGATTATCTCTCTTTTCCTTTGTAGAAACGTATGTTACCACCTTGGCTAAAACATTTTAAAACGTGAAATCGTGAATTTGATCAAATAAGAGGTTTTAAACAATTCTGTACCAGTTAATAAAGTCATATACATGTTGTATGGCACTTTAACACATTAATATCACTGTTCATTGAATATATAAAGATACTGTTATTCATCTAGCTTCACTTGCAATAGTTCTATACATACCCTTCTTCTTCCATTCAAATGGAACTACTTTCTTCAGTTTTTTAAGGATCTGCACACTCCCCTAAAAATAAATATGAACACGTGACCTAGCTATCATCAAATTCAAAACATTTCTAATTTAGTTATTCATTAGAAGATGATAACAGTTCATGGATACTTAAACCTACGTATGTATAGCGAGCATCATGAAGGACCTATTGATATTCTGTGTATATATAGAAAAATCATTACAAATACTAGTATTAAGCGTAAGGGGTGATTTGTCTATATCCAAATGAGGAATATATACATATATTTGTAGTTGTTTTATGTTCTTCTATGTGTGTGATGTAATTTATATACATAGCACAATTTAGTCGTTGGCTGTCTAGACAGTTCAGCAATTGTCAATTGTCAATAAGGAAATTCAGTTTCATATTTAACGTAACAATTTGATTCCTTCTCAGACAAAGTAATATGACACCTTGAAAGAGACAAAGAAAAGACGTACCGACTTAACAACTATAATCCAGTCGTAGTAGTTCGAATCTTGTGCAAGGACATCCCCTCGTCTGGGAAATAGGCACAAAACACATACTTCAATAATGTAAATAGTAGAGCTAAGTAACATATTGCTTGATTATGTATTTTGGTACAAAACAAAACATTACTCAAAGACAGTACAAAACATGTTATTAGCTTTATGACATATGCGTAAAGATACCCAATATATATATAACGGAATTTATTGAGTCATGGGACAAGTTCACATCTTTTTCAAATTTCCGTCGAGCAATTAAATTTTTTCTCAGCCGCTTCTAAGATTTAAAAAAATCAGTCATTATTATCTCTGACGAGTCAAGAAGGACGAAAAAAATGTTTGATTCAGATTAATTCGATTTTGGTTCCATGTATCTTATTCTAAGTTTGTATTGAAGTTTCCGATGCCTGCAGTAATCTGCACACCAGGTTTTAGTTCGAATAGTGGCATGGTTCAGAATACACCTATGTTATTGTTGGTTTCCTGGAATCATTATATATATGTATTGAAATAGCGAGTTTATGCATCTTTCGATCGGATTTGATTTTCTTCAGTCGTCTGCTCGGTTTCAATACATAGCTACTAAGCATTCCTGACGACTACTAGAAGAATGAAACTGCATTATAATGATGAAAACACAAGTGTAAAGTTTTATTGCTACTTCATCCAAAATTCCTCGGTAATTCAAAAGTATCAAAATTAAGATGACTAGGAAATGCTGTTTGCATCTTACTTGAAATACAGGAACTTTGTCTTATCAGGGCATTCTTTCAGCTTCTCAATTGGCCATCCATCCAGGAAACTTAGAGACCTTGGTTTATGGATATAGATAAAATTACTGAAAGGCTTGTCATAATCTCGTGCATCAGCAGGGCTCAAATTAATTTTATCTAATACTATTACGAAAACAAGTAAATGAAAGAATTATAATTAGATAGAACAATAAAAAGCTATTCTAGTTGTGAATATCAAGCTCCAAATCATAATGGTTTAACAGGATAGCCTCTCTTTGTACGCTTTATCAGTGTTGGCCTGTATTAATATGGATATTTTCCCTCCACTTTATAGCTAAACAATTTTCTAAGTATTTATCGGATTACGTTACATCTAAATGGTTCAGCATTCATCAAAAAGTGACTGTATGTTTTAATTCATATTTAGTCAATTAGATGAGAAATCCAAGCTAAAATTCTGCCTTCCAATGGCCATTAACAAAAGCAAACAATATGAAGATAACCCAAGTCACCAAAAGCGTCAAGGTGTATATGATGATTATTTTAATTTGTGTCATCTAGATATTACTTTTGCTTCGAACGCAATAATTGTCTGATACATAAATGATCAATTATGTAAAAAAAAAAGATACCAATTCATACCGGAGAGAAAGCGATTTGTCAAGTAAATCAAATTGTTTATGATTGTCTAATTTAACGTACAAACTGAAATAGTGGTTCTAATATGAGTTTATGATGTTAAGAGTAACTTACTTCAGGAATTTTTCCTGATCCGGGTCACCCAGACTCTTGGTGCCACCTGACATGAATATACGCTTGTAATCCTTTTTGCCTATACTGAGAAACTCGCAAGGCTCCTTACAAATTATCGTGGCATTTCTCTTCGTGCCTTGAATGATAGACAGTTCCTGAAAATAGACACAAACTAACGTCAGACCTTCAAAATATATTGATAAACTGCAATTCATATTTCTTTAACAACATATTTAGCAGAGATGATCTAAACAGATCAGTGACAGTCATGAAAAAAATAAACTTTTATATACTCTCAATATATTTAAAAATCTGATTAGTCGTGAACCTTATTTGCATTTTTTAAAATTTTTGTCCCATTTTTATAATTAAAAATAAACAAACACTCTACAAAGGAAAAAACATATTTTTCCTAGTGAAGTGAAATATGCTACGTTATTATGGGACCACTTTAGATTAGGTATTCGTAGACGTAATTTGGCAAACAAGTTAACAAACAGTTAATTAGAGATTTTATCGTATGTACAAACCCCAAAATCACCGCCTTTATTTATATGAAAGGCTGGTCTGGCATACGTTCTCGACTCGTCCATCACCATCACCACAGCTGAAACAAATATCTATTGATATAGGTAACAGTTACTCATACTAAGAATATCAAGAAAGTACCAACATATCAAGATAATCATAATCCAAAATCAAATAGGGTTAACTGGTTCAGATATGAACAAAAGAAAGATTTACACGGAGACTCATGAAAAAATACAAGGAGAATAAAGACAAGGTGTTCCGAAAGAGTAAAATTTGTTTGCTTCATAGATGACACCCTCCATGTAAACCTTGGTGCAATCAGTAATGTCACGTTCTCAAATGAGAACAATGTATTGAACAAAGTAAGTATTTGCACGAAGATTTATGAAAAAAGACTTGATATTTCGGAAGGGTAAACGTCTTCTGTTTACATTTACAAGTTTACAAGTGATAAAAACTTTTGATATGTAATGTGTACAATTATATACAGTAGAGACAGATGACCAATTACATATCTTTAGCTCACCTTCTCCTGACAGAACAAAGTAGTAGGCGGACGCAGGGTGACCTTGTCGTAAGACTATCCGCTTTGCCTCATATCTTTAAAATAGAAATATTCGCCTATATTGCATAAAAAACTTAACACAGAAATGTCTTTTTTTCAAAGGTTTCTTTATGAATATAGCAAGATCATTTTTGAAATTTCTGGTCACTGAGAACGGACATAAAAATGAATTATTGCTTTTACACAAAAATACTGTTGTGAGGAGCGCAATATTGAAAACGACAGAATGTTAAAACATTTTGAAATTGTATCAAGACATGACAATATGATACCTTTCATACTGTCCAACTTGAGCAATCTTTAGTTGCATATTTTGAGGGTAATCGGCTATGGCTTTGATATTGCGTAGTGCAATTTGGGCCTGAGGAAAAAAAGAGAAAGTAATGAATGAGGTTATCCAACGTTATCTAGGTTTGTAAAATAACATGAAAACATAATTCGTGTATTTCTCGTTCACATGCCTGAACTACATAGCCAGGTATTAATGTTTTTCATTACAATTATATGTTGTAATACATGTCACGTCTTACTTCATTCAAATCGTGGCACGCTTCAGAATATACACAATTACCTCACGTTCTTCTTACATTATCAGACATGTGAAAATTAGTAAAGCTTTGGGCAAATGCACCTCCCCTAAGTTTGAGAAAGTAGACGCTAGCATCACAGATTATATGGTGCAGTCTCATTATTTTGAACTACTACAAGTGATTTGAAGTATATCAAAAGGTAATACACATTTGTAAACAAAACTCAGTAGAAACAATGTAAAGATTTAGCAGCAGTCACTGAACAAATGGAGGAAAACACATGAAAAAATACAGCCATCGGGCATTGTGTAACATTCACGATATCGTGTGTTAATTAAGCGATGACGTCCTTTAGCGATACCCAGACACTATAAGTTATATTCTATTATAGTTGTGCTAATAGGCCATATTACCTGACTGATGTAATGTGCCACATTTTCCGACGTCAATTCTTGAAACACAGTGATTTTTTTATCGTTTTTTATTTTCTGTTTTACAACTTGAGTATTAATGTATCGATCACCGACTTTTTTCTATGTATAAAGTACCTGTCATTTTGAATTAATAAGATTCTTACCACATACACTTCTCTTTCTGTTCGGTCACGTGAATTTTTACATAGTATTTTCTTTGTTTCCTCTGGAACTCGCATCTATAATACAGGACAAAGAAGAAATATAGCATATACAGAAATAAGTATTCGGGTTTGTCACCAAACAATCTCTACAAAGATTGATTAACAACACTGGAGCCGTGATGCATAAAATATGTATTGGGCTTGTGACATGTTATGACTATAAACAACATGATCGACAGTCCTCAGATAATGATTCTACATCTCGTGTTAAAATGGTTATTGTGTATTTTCGTGTTGTGTCCTTGTAGTACATTTGTTCTGTACCAGAAAGACTATTACAGTGTATATCGTGAATACTAGATCGTGACAGCTCGTGTTGATGAACGTTGTAATGTAGACCGTGCCAGCTCGTGAAGCTCGATGTTACAGAGTTTATCGTGCAAGCTCGTGATACTGTACATTGCAGTGTATATCAAGCAATGTCATGATGCAAGACTTTACTGGATTTATCGTGCAAGCTCGTGATACTGTACATTACAGTGTATATCAAGCAATGTCATGATGCAAGACGTTAGTGAATTTATCGTGCAAGCTCGTGATACTGTACATTACAGTGTATATCAAGCAATGTCATGATGCAAGACGTTAGTGAATTTATCGTGCAAGCTCGTGATACTGTACATTACAGTGTATATCAATCAATGTCATGATGCAAGATGTTAGTGAATTTATCGTGCAAGCTGGTGATGTTGACGGTACAGAGTATACCGTGTACATAAGATCGTTCCAGAGAAAGAAATCTCACAGAAACATAATCTACAATTCTTAAGTTTAGTTTAACCAGGGCAGGTTTCTAGGTGTCCTTATTATATATTTTCAATACTTCAGCCACACACTGCATTTTAAAGGAAATACAAAATGAGAAAATGGCATTTCATGATCCAATTACATTTTGGACACCAAGTTTGTAATAGTGACGGGATGACATGGCGAAACCTTTTATTTGCCCTTTCTTGAGTCAATATCTGATGTATTTTCACCTCGGGATACAACGTTAGCTATTTCAGTTGTTTGTAGATCGTACCAGCTCGCGTTTTCAGTGACGTCGTTCAAACATTCAATAGTTATCTTACTTACGAATCGCTTAATTAGCACATGGAACTTGACAGTGTCAACCACTTACCGATTTATTTGCCTTGAAGATAGACCTGTCAAACAGAAGATCAGTCGGTGTGTCATAGTCGTGGAAGTGTAACCCCTTGATAAAAGGCGAGACCTCATCTTCATGTTCCTTGTCTCTGTTATCATAAAGAGATTTATTTAGGCCAAAGTCCGATACTGTTAGGGCAGTATTGTCGGCTACGCATGGATACATATTGTGGATACTTATTTTACAATAGATACACATTGTACAATAGATACACATTGTATAATAGATACACAGTGTACAATAGATAAACATGGTATAATAGATACGCATTGTATAATAGATACACATTGTAGATACACATTTTGCAATAGATACACATTGTATAATAGATACACATAGATACACATTGTAGATACACATTGTAGATACACATTGTACAATAGATAAACATGGTATAATAGATACGCATTGTACAATAGATACACATTGTATAATAGATACACAGTGTATAATATATACAAATTGTATAATAGATATACATTGTATAATAGATACACATTGTAGATACACATTGTACAATAGATAAACATGGTATAATAGATACGCATTGTACAATAGATACACATTTTATAATAGATACACATTGTGCAATAGATACACATTGTATAATAGATACACAGTGTACAATAGACAATTAATGTATAACAGATACACATTGTATAATAGATACACATTATATAATAGATACACATTGTGCAATAGATACACATTGTATAATAGATACACAGTGTACAATAGACAATTAATGTATAACAGATACACATTGTATAATAGATACACATTATATAATAGATACACATCGTACAATAGAAGCACATTGTATAATAGATATATATATTGTACGATAGATAAACTTTGTATAATAAATACACATTGTATAATAGGTATACATTGTGTAATAGATAAACATTGTAGATACACATTGTACAATAGATACACATTGTAGATACACATTGCACAATGTATACACATTGTATAATAAATACACATTGTATAATACATACACATTGTATAATAGATACACATTATATAATAGATACACATTGCACAACAGATACACATTGTAGATACACATTGTGTTATAGATACACATTGTAGATACACATTGTACAATAGATACACATTGTATAATAGATACACAGTGTACAATAGATAATTAATGTATAATAGATACACATTGTATAATAGATACACATTGTATATTAGATACACAGTGTACAATAGATAATAAATGTATAATAGATACACATTGTAGATACACATTGTACAATAGATACACATCGTATAATAGATACACATTGTATAATAGATACACAGTGTACAATAGATAATTAATGTATAATAGATACACATTGTAGATACACATTGTACAATAGATACACATTGTATAATAGATACACATTATATAATAGATACACATTGTATAATACATACACATTGTATAATAGATACACAGTGTACAATAGATATACATATTGTATGATAGATACACATTGCATGATAGATACACATTGTATAATAGATACACATTGTAGATACACATTGTGCAATATATACACATTGTATAATAGATACACATTTTGCAATAGATATACATTGTACAATAGATACACAGTGTATAATAGATACACAGTGTATAATATATACACATTGTATAATAGATATACATTGTATAATAGATACACATTGTAGATACACATTGTACAATAGATAAACATGGTATAATAGATACGCATTGTACAATAGATACACATTGTATAATATATACACATTGTATAATAGATATACATTGTATAATAGATACACATTGTAGATACACATTGTACAATAGATAAACATGGTATAATAGATACGCATTGTACAATAGATACACATTGTATAATAGATACACATTGTATAATAGATACACATGGTATAATAGATAAGCATTGTACAATAGATACACATTGTATAATAGATACACATTTTGCAATAGATACACATTATATAATAGATACACAGTGTATAATGTATACACATTGTATAATAGATATACATTGTACAATAGATACACAGTGTATAATAGATACACAGTGTATAATATATACACATTGTATAATAGATATACATTGTATAATAGATACACATTGTAGATACACATTGTACAATAGATAAACATGGTATAATAGATACGCATTGTACAATAGATACACATTGTATAATAGATACACAGTGTATAATATATACACATTGTATAATAGATATACATTGTATAATAGATACACATTGTAGATACACATTGTACAATAGATAAACATGGTATAATAATTAAACATTGTAAAATAGATACACATCGTATAATAGATATATATATTTTATGATAGATACACATTGTACGATAGATAAACTTTGTATAATAAATACACATTGTATAATAGATACACATTGTATAATAAATACACATTGTGTAATAGATATACATTGTGCAATAGATACACATTGTAGATACACATTGTGTTATAGATACACATTGTATAATAGATACACAGTGTACAATAGATAATTAATGTATAATAGATACACATTGTATAATAGATACACATTGTATATTAGATACACAGTGTACAATAGATAATTAATGTATAATAGATACACATTGTAGATACACATTGTACAATAGATACACATTTTATAATAGATACACATTGTATAATACATACACATTGTATAATAGATACACAGTGTACAATAGATATACATATTGTATGATAGATACACATTGTATGATAGATACACATTGTATAATAGATACACATTGTAGATACACATTGTGCAATAGATACACATTGTATAATAGATACATATTGTATAATAGATACACAATGTATAATAGATACACATTGTGCAATAGATACACATTGTATAATAGATACACAGTGTACAATAGATAATTAATGTATAATAGATACACATTGTATAATAGATACACATTATATAATAGATACAAATTGTACAATAGATACACATTGTAGATACACATTGTACAATAGATACACATTGTACAATAGATACACAGTGTACAATAGATAATTAATGTATAATAAATACACAATGTATAATAGATACACATTGTACAATAGATACACATTGTATATTAGATACACATTGTATAATAGATACACATTGTATAATGGATACACATTGTATAATAGATACACATAGATACACATTGTATATTAGATACACATTGTAGATACTCATTGTGCAATAGATACACATTGTACAATAGATACACAGTGTACAATAGATACACAGTGTACAATAGATAATTAATGTATAATAGATACACATTGTACAATAGATACACAGTGTACAATAGATACACATTGTATAATAGATACACGGTGTACAATAGATAATTAATGTATAATAGATACACATTGTATAATAGATACACATTATATAATAGATACACATTGTAGATACTCATTGTATAATAGATATACATTGTATAATAGATACACATTGTATAATATATACAAACTGCAATGAGTCGTATAAAGCACATTTTTATTTACGTTACTTGTTTTCAGTAAAAATATCCATCTTTTTGCTTTCAATCGTTAGGAAAAAAATCCTCCATAACTAAAAATTTGGCGAATCTCAATGCAGCGAATAACTGATGAATCATTGTATTAAACGAACAAAAATGTTCTTAGTAAATTATAGAATAAAAAAAAATATATCGATAGCGCAATGCTTCAAAGTCAAATTCAAATCGAAATCGATACAAGAAGACAATTTCACGAGCATTTGATACACAGTATTAGAGATAGCGTAGACTCTATTTTGTCCAGAACAGATAAACATTCCCTGTAGTATTGTGACTTACTGAACGGATACTTACCTCAAGGAGTGAGCTTTGAACAGCCTGAGACAGATGACGGTCAGTTTTCCCACTAACCGAAATTTTTTAAGTAGTTGTTTCTACAAAATTAACAAAAATAGTCATTCTCACCTGGTATGTACCAACACCTTGTACATTCGAATGCAAATCATAATTGCGATTGCCTTTTTCCTAAATAAATCGAAAGGTGTAACTTTCTCGCCATCCATCTCCAGAATTCTGAATTTAGACTTTCTTGACTGAATCGTCCGTTCTTTTAAACGTTCCCGAGCTAGATTCTTCATCCGGACTATTACTATAGGTAGAACAGTGAGAGCGGTTTGTTGTGATCTAAAATTTTGTTGTGTTTGTTTAACGGCAGTACGTTCGGTCCAAGTACCGTTTTTCATGCGGCCAAGTGCAAGCTGAACTTTACTTAATCCGACAACATTTGGAAACCGTTGTACGTCAGGGTTTGTCTCGTCACTAAACTCTCCACACTGTTTACTAAGTCTAGCTATATCTACTGATAGCTGTTGTCTGGTATTTTGTTTTCGCAACATATTTTCTTTTTGGTCAAAATGAATTGGGAAAATGCCATTAACGTCTTAGAGCATTTGTTCCAATCAACCGATATAATTTGATATCATAACAAAACTGGTGTCTGATCAATCCTGGTTGTGGACAGGACGACATTCTCTATCATACTGCAAACCTCATCAGAGTACCGTAACGAAGATGTCCTCAAATGTACGGTCGTATTCGTTAAAACATTTGTATACATGAAAAAGATAACACACAGCTCGACCTTAAAAGACTTAAACAATTGCCTTTCATCAACCCATAAACCTGTCATTGTGTCATAGATAAACACATCGACAAAGGATCATATGTGTTTTACCGAGGGTAAGCAATATAAAAACAAGAGTGAACATTTATTCAAGAACAAGTCGCAGAACAAACATAGCTTATTTTGTATTGTCAGTAATATACATGAAGAGCATTCTAGCAATGTCCATTTCGTTAAATGATTCAACGATATAGGCCATCAACGAGGGAATGGGATTATCGATCTTAACATGTAACTCTAAAACAATATGTCTTGTTAGATATATATACAACACATAGGTGTCCAAGTAAACCCAACCAAAAATGACCCAGGCTGTTCAATGGGAGATTACACCAGCAAACAAACAAATATCAGAAATTTATATTTTGTATTCATCAAAATTGAATGTTTAATGCATAAAGGATGTGCAATCCTCTGTGTCCAGAGTTGTCTCAGAATACTTTACTATGACTACCGACTTTTGTATGAACTGTGTTTACAATCAGTGTATTTGATATCGAACCAGTTTTGTATTGTTTTTACAACGATAAAGTGGCAGTTAGGGTTTTATTGTGTTAAATGCCCTTTCATGGAAATCCGCCGCATCGCATACTGCTGACTGATATTGTGTGTATTATTTGAGAATAAGATATTTGAAAATTTAAGATATCGTACACATAATGTTTTGTTATTTCCATGTATTTTGAATCGTATTATTCATAAAGAACACACCCTAAAGTTAGCACAGATTCATCAAAATATGTTGACACATCTCTGGATTTTAGAGGTTAAAAATTTTTAATGATAGATGCCTAAAGTTTAGACTTCGGTCAACGGCCACTTTTACAGTTCTCTAATACACTGACAGTTCTCTGTTTGGTTCCTAGAATTCTGTGTAGTTTCTTTACTGATCGATCAATGAAGTTCAGGTTTCCGAACGTTACTATATCATAAATTACAGCAATTCATTTTCCCCGTTTCATTTTTACATTAGTAAGTGCCCGATATCAGATTATGGTTTTACCGTGATGTATACCTGGAGTATAATGTGCGGGATTTTATTGTAGTGCTAATGATCTTGTTATTCTTTGACTATTCAGTTGTTTATTAGTGCCCTACCTAGCTGGATTATAAGTTGGTATACCATGGAAGATATATTTTGTTGTTACTGCCACTAAATATAAAATGATTTTCATATGATCTAGATCTCAAAATCAGACATATTTTTTATGTCAATAGTTTTGATGACATTCTGAATTTGGCGTCCACGTAAAGTTAGATTTCGGAAAATCAAAGAAGACAATAAAATTATAGGGGAAACAAATAAAAATTTAAAACAAAAATACAAAGGTGTTAAGCTGCTATTTACATCCTGAAACAAACTAAACTATTTACTGTTTGCAAATTATTAATTAAGTTGATACTTCTAGACCTGACCACGCCCGAACTATATAACTGGTTTATACCAATGTATCTACTCATGTTCAACATACTCCCACCACCTACTGAACATAGTAAGATAGCAAGTTGTGCAGAAATGATACAGTATGTATAAAAACCTTCAGAGATTCCACAGACACATAGAAATAATTACAGTTCTAAATATTTAACTGAGAATTCTTAAAATACCTTGTGCTATAATCAAACAGATTTACCCATCTTCAATTCAAGATTGTAATAAACAGAAAAAAGAAGTGCTTCAAGCAAATCATTTTAAAAATCCACATCCAATAACATCTTTACCGTTGGAGATTCATCTATGAAGTACTGAAAAGTAAAACAATGAAAATGATGATGTTGACTGAAAAGTAAAGGTCGTTATAAGATAAAACCTGCGTGGTAAGGTCAGTTTTGTATTGAATGTAAAGTAAGGGTCGTTGCGAGTTAAACCTGCGTGGTGAGGTCAGTTTTGTATTGAATGTAAAGTAAAGGTTTTTGTAAGTTAAACCTGTGGGGTGAGGTCAATTTTGTATTGAATGTAAAGTGAGGGTCGTTGTAAGTTAAACCTGTGGGGTGAGGTCAATTTTGTATTGAATGTAAAGTGAGGGTCGTTGTAAGTTAAAACATGTGTGATGAGGTCAGCCATTTTTGTATTGGGTGTTAAGTAATGAGATTTGCATGTAATATAATCCGACTTTGATCCGTGACTTTTTTATTTTGCGATTTCATCAATACAGCAAAGGTTTTGTTCGGTCTTCTTTTTTGTCATGTGAGCGCAAAAATACCATTTGTAAATCAGCCACTGAAGTCGACTAAGAACACTACTTCATTTTCTGTATGATACTTGCATGTATTGATATATAATACTTCAAAACAGCAAAAGGCGTCGATGAGAATAAATCTATATTTTAACCTAAATAAAAACACCAAGGAAAAAATACAGGTGAGTGAAGTCAACGGATTAGATTTAATTTGAAGTAAATACGAGTAAATACGTTGTGAAGATAATTTCTACTCCTTTCGTCACTATCTATTTTGCTCCAAGCTATACATTTTCTACATTTCAGGAAAATATCAAATTATTGATGTAGTCAAATCCACATTATAACCCTGCATTTATTTTTTCTCGTCTGATACCAGTTGCACCTGGATTCACCTAGCCTTTCAACAGCTAATCTTTTCTGTGGTGGGCGTGGTCTATATGGCATAACCAATCATTTTCATGGCGGGTTTAACAAGGCCTTTCTCTACTATCCACACAATGGGTAGTTCTCAAATTTGTGTAAAAGATTAAGTCTTTCAAAGAAGAGAATAAATCCAATTAGTTAAATCCCCTTACTTCTAACCTTATATAAAAGTTAAATGCATGGACAATTAATTAATCATCAGATGTCTTCAGTGTTACAAATAGTATCTATTTGGAATATTTTTGTAAGGACATGGATGACAGTATTGCATAAAGCCAGCGTTTGAGACATAGCACATGATATATACTTTGATGGGGAAATTATTCTAAAACTGCATTTCATTGTAGAACTTCCAGAAAAATTCATTGTAAAAAATCTGGATTATGTAACGTAACTTCGAAAGTCTCCGTCATGATGAAAAACAAACACATTATCAGAAACACATATTTATGTAGAACCTGTGTAATTCGTGTGATAGTCCAAAGAGCTATTATTAAAAAACACATTATCAGAAACACATGTTTATGTAGAACCTGTGTAATCAGCGTGATAGTCTGTAGAGCTATGAAAAAAAACACATTATCAGAAACACATATTTATGTAGAACCTGTGTAATTCGTGTGATAGTCCAAAGAGCTATTATTAAAAAACACATTATCAGAAACACATGTTTATGTAGAACCTGTGTAATCAGCGTGATAGTCTGTAGAGCTATGAAAAAAAACACATTATCAGAAACACATGTTTATGTAGAACCTGTGTAATTCATGTGATAGTCCTTAGAGCTATGATAAAAAACACATTATCAGAAACACATGTTTATGTAGAACCTGTGTAATTCATGTGATAGTCCAAAGAGTTATTATTAAAAAACACATTATCAGAAACACATGTTTATGTAGAACCTGTGTAATTCGTGTGATGGCCTGTGGAGCTATGATAAAAACACATTATCAGAAACACATGTTTATGTAGAACCTGTGTAATCAGCGTGATAGTCTGTAGAGCTATGATAAAAACACATTATCAGAAACACATATTTATGTAGAACCTGTGTAATTCGTGTGATAGTCCAAAGAGCTATTATTAAAAAACACATTATCAGAAACACATGTTTATGTAGAACCTGTGTAATCAGCGTGATAGTCTGTAGAGCTATGAAAAAAAACACATTATCAGAAACAAATGTTTATGTAGAACCTGTGTAATTCATGTGATAGTCCTTAGAGCTATGATAAAAAACACATTATCAGAAACACATGTTTATGTAGAACCTGTGTAATTCATGTGATAGTCCAAAGAGTTATTATTAAAAAACACATTATCAGAAACACATGTTTATGTAGAACCTGTGTAATTCGTGTGATGGCCTGTGGAGCTATGATAAAAGCACATTATCAGAAACACATGTTTATGTAGAACCTGTGTAATCAGCGTGATAGTCTGTAGAGCTATGATAAAAACACATTATCAGAAACACATGTTTATGTAGAACCTGTGTAATCAGCGTGATAGTCTGTAGAGCTATGATAAAAAACACATTATCAGAAACACATGTTTATGTAGAACCTGTGTAATTCATGTGATAGTCCAAAGAGTTATTATTAAAAAACACATTATCAGAAACACATGTTTATGTAGAACC